ATTGGCAGGCTGGCTGCAGCCCCTGCCCTCCCCCACCTCCTGCCCTGTTGCCTGTGCTACCTCAAGGCCTGGATGCGGGTACAAGCAGCCCGGCTGCTGTGGGACAACAAGGCACAGAAATCTCCCAGCACAAAACCCTGTGAATGCGGAAACAAACAGCATCAGTTCAGTCCCTGACCACAGCTCCAGCTAGGCCGTAAAAGGTGTATGGGGAAAAATTCCTTGCAGAGCTGTTCTTTGAGCTTCTGTACCCTAGTTAAAGGCTCTAGTTTCTTTTTTTTTTTTCCTATTGGCTCTGTCTTCTAGCAGAGCTGAGCATCAGCCAACACCTCGGCAGTCCTTAGGCACTAGAAATCTGCAGTTAAAGCTGCTGTCTGAGGACCAGGGTTAAACCACTGAAGAAGTTGACTGTGCTGTGGGCATTGTCCCCTTTCTCCAAGGCCAGGTAGGGGAGGTTGGCCCAGTGCTCCCAGCCTGCCCATCTCCACATGCTGCTGTGGTTTCACTCACTGCAGTCCTGCGGGCCAGCTTGGATAGGCTCACTTCTTTGCCCAGAGGCAGACTGGCTGTCAGCATGTTCAGCATCGACCTCCTCTGCTCTTCTGAAGGGGCTTCGATTTTCACCTCGTGAAGGAAAGCAGTCTGCACGTCTGTAGGAACATCCTGGGGCCTGCAGGTTGTGCCGATCACCAGGGCAGGGTGGCTGTTGAGAAAAGGGGGGCAGTGCATGGTCTCAGCTTTATGGAAGCTTCCCTCTTACATTGCCATCACATACACCAAGTAGTTCTCCAATGGCCAGCCTTTCCTCTGAGAAATACGCACGTACTGGCCAAGGTGTCTTGCAGCCACTCTCCTCCAGCTTGCCCTTGAACTGCTTTGTGAGCTCTGTCTCCAAGTCAAGGCCCTTCAAGTGACATCTTATTTTTTCACTTGATGTCTCCCTCCCTGCACCCTCGTACTTGCCAATCAGCCTCAAGATTCTCCTGGGGTCCAGTGCCCTTCCAGGGTCCCTGCAACCCTTGGCATGCCTCACAGCAAACACTGCTGCGTTTGCTCATCTGAACAACTCAGAAACCAGCTTCAGACAACAAAGCTTCCTGATTCCCTGAGCCGCTAAGCTGGAAGAACAAGGGCCCTCTGAAGTAAACAAAGCAAGTCTGGGAGAGACTCCACTTGATTAAAAATAAAACAGGGCATGTTAGCAATCAGTCACCTTGATGTAACGGTGACTGCTGCCCTAGGAATGGCAGAAGCAAACAAACACCTCAGATGCCCACAGCAAACATGCAGGGTCCATACCTCAGTACTGGGTCTCTGTCCAGGAGCAGCTGTCTCAGAGTAGCGATGACCCTGGCGTCCTCTCCTAGCCTGTCCCGGTCTCTGCCAAGCACCTCAATGTCTTTCAGCACAAGCACACAGGGATGATACTGCTGGGCCTGGGCGAAGGCCATCTGTACTTTCTCCTCTGTGGCTCCACTGGTGTCACTGCACAAACTAACGCAATCAACCTGCGAGACAGACCACACAACACACAGTTGGCAGCAGTTGCAACATGGACAGCTGGGGGACCCGGGACAATGTTCGCTTCCGTAAAGCTTTCCACGGCCAATTCACAGCTGAAAAGAGATCTAAGTGGATGTTTCCCAGAGACACATTCAGGACTCCTGGCACATTCTGAAAAATGGCTGTTTCTTGCTTCTCTGCAGGAGGTGAGGGGGGCAGAAGGGTCTTGTCTGAAAAAGGTGAGGCCAAGGGACCGAAGAAGTCGATACAGTGGATGTCGCGGCTCAGCAACCTAAACTGGAAGGGATGGGAGAGCTGTGGAAGAGGCCAAGACAGGGAGAACAAGAGGTTCTCAGAGGAACCGTGCAAAGAGTAGAGGGGGAGGCTCAGGAAACTGTTCAACCCAGTGCTACACAGGCTCAAAGTGCAGGAGGAAGGTAGAAGGTAAGGGGAGGGAAAAAAAAAAAAATTTAGAGGTGGCTAATAGCCCAGACACTGTTTACAAAGCAAACACTTGATGAAATCATCCAAAAGGGAGAGGTGACTGGTGAGCCTTGAACAGCAGGTTGAACGCTGCTGGAAAACAGGCAGCGCTGCCTCCTGGTGCTGCAAGGTCACACAGGGAGAGACAAAGCATCTCTGGGATTCCCTGGGCCTCATCCTCGGAAAGGGTAGCTTGGAGCAGGGAGAATGCCTCAAGAGCTGACATAAAGGGTAAGGACGGGGAAGCAGAGCAGAGGAACTCCTGTGCTCCACGTACTATAGGAAAAAACAGGAGTTAAGTTTGTGGCAGGCACAGCCAAACGGCAGCAGTATCTGTATGCAAGTACAGAAGGGCAGAGAGAAAGGACAAAAAACTGCTGATCATCAAGTGGTGGAGATTACAGTGTGGAAGAATTACTGTGTCCTGGTAGGAGAGCAGGCAGAACAGTCAGAGGAAGGGAAGAGAAGGTGGAATGGTAATGTAAGCATTGCAGTAAGTGAGAAAAGGGGGGGAGAGTGTAAAAGCTGGAATAGGAGAATAAGATGGAGAGCAAATACCTCTGGCTTCAATAGTAAGAGTGTTAGTCTTTAAAAGCAGCACACAAGGCCAAAACCGGAGCTGTAACCTTGCACATCACACTAGAACCTTAGGCCACCTGCCAGGACATGGCAGTGCCACAGTGCTCCCAAACACATCCTATACATGGATCTGAAGGTACTGTGAAGTCTCTGCAATCTTGTACTGGATCCCAAGAGCTATGGCACATCTGCAGAAGAGTAAGAGCTCAGCACCACTAAGGATCGTGCCCAGAAGATGAGCTGCACAGCAGCTGGCCGAGGCTGTATCCACCTCCCCCACTGACCCACTGTTACGGCTTTACTTGGATAGAAAAGAACAGTTAAAGAGAGTAATGTCAACTTAACAGGCCCCAACTTCTAAACAGAAGAAGAAAACCCAAATATCCAAAATGCTTAGCTTGTTTTCTATGAGTTTACTCTAAAAATACCTACAAAAAAGGAGCAAGCCTATGTTTTCCTTCCACTAAAGGAACCTTCCAGCTCTCTTTTCTCCATCTTTCTTCTTCTTCCAAGTCCTTTCAGAGTTTCAGAAACTCTCCCAGAAAAGTCACCATGTGACTTCCAATCCCCTCACTTTTGCAAACATAACTCTACAGATTCAAGGAGATTAAAGCACTTGTGGGATATACCCAGACTGTCAGAGTGAACAAAAGAGGAAGGAAGAGAAGGAAGATAGTATTTTTAACAAGTCAGGGCAGACTGCCTCGGTGCCCAGAACCTCCAGTGCTGGACAGAGACAGGGGTTAGACCTCATTTTGGCCATGAAGCTTACCCAGTACAGCCACAGCTGTAAGAACATATGAATGGCTGTACTGGATCAGACCAAGAGTCCATTTAGCCTGCTATTTTGTCTCCAGGCACGACCAGAAGTGGCTGCTTAAGAAAGAGTAAGATCAGGGTAAGCACATATAACCCTCTCCCCTCCGTACTCTTCCAGGCACCTACCATTCCCACCGAAAGGGATTTTCCCAGTCAGATGTGGTTTCATAACAGTAGATTTCTCCTCCAAATACTCTTACCTACACAAAGAACCATCTCCTTTAGCTTGCCTGTTCCCACTAGCTTCACCAGACGGCCCCAGGCCTCGTGCTGGCACAGAGAAAAGTAAACACTTTCCACTCTCTGCTGACCACTCAAGATCTTGTAAACCTCTATCAAACTCTCCCTAAGTTCTCCATTTCTCAAGCTGAAGAGCCTGTTCAGCTGTTCACCACACAGAAACCGGTCTATACCCCTGATCTTCCCCAGTGTCCTCCTCTGAATTTTTCCAGTTCAGCTTTATGCTTTTGCGATGGGAAGACCAGAACTGTGCATGATATTCAAGCTGTGGCAAGACACGGATCTGCACAGCAGCAGCACCTACTCTCGTTTGTTTCCTAAAATATGATCTGATTTTTGACATATATGGAGAACAGAGCCCAAGTTTTCATGGAGCCATTGACATAAAACCCCATTCTTGCTAATGACTGGTGACAGTCAGCTTGAAATCTGGTAAACATTTCCATGCATTTCCATTTCCATTTTCCATGTAATACCAACTACAGTGAATTTTACCTGCCACTTCACTGCTCAGTCACTTGATCTCATTAAAGCTCTCCTCTAGTCTAAGGACAGTCTGTCTCCCTTTTCTCTTACCTCTAATAACTTAGTTATCAACAAACCATCACACCACTGTTCACCCCCTTTCTCAGATCACTTCTGAGCTCCCAGTGCAGTCGCCTGCAGAGCTCCACTGCTGACTGCGAAGACTCACCAACTACTCCCATCCCGTTCCCAACCTTTAACCAGCACTTTATCCATGCCAGGACTTTCGCTCACATCCCACTACCACTCAGTTTCCCAAAAAGCCTTTTCAAAACCCAAGTAGACTGTGTTGGTCAAGTTACCTTCCCCACATGCTTGGTAACACCTTCAAGTAACTTTCTGAAGGTTTACAGGACAGGACTTCCTGTTGCAAAAACTACATGGATTTTTCACGAGTAGTGAAGTCATCCCAGAGTGTGCTAACTCTGTCACTCTAACCTGCTACAGGTTTGTGCCCCTTGAAGAATGCCTCTTGTTTTCAGCGACTGTCCTTTCCCTGCTGTTCATGTTTTGTCTTCCATTTACTTTTCTCAAGCCCATCCCAACACGATCTATGCAGTGGCCTCGTGTCGGGGCGCAGTGTCACTTATTCACCTCCACAGCAGACGTAACACTTCCTTACCTTGTCCGATTCTTTCCTTCTAAAGAAACCTCATTTTGACATTGTTCCCCTTTCAGAAGCCAAGCACTGCTATGGAAGATTCAGGGGCTTTGTTGCTCTTGGTGGGGGGTGATGGTGAAGGTGAACACAGTTACAGGGCAGCTCTTCTACAGGCCGCGAGATTTTGAACCAGATCTGACACACATGCTGTTATCAAACCAAGGGCTGCATTTCTTTTCCAGGCTTCCCACACAGCTAGAGAAGATCTCAGCGTCATCTCTGCCTCACTTTCCAACATGCCTTTTGCCCAACCTATGCGGGGACAATTGAAAACACCCAATGCCACTGCAATTCCTGCCCTCATCACCTCTCCAGTTTCTCTCAGTGTATGTCAGTTACAGCCACCCTCTGGGGTATAGTATCAGCTCAATGCCTTATCAAATGACAGGAAGTTAGTCTGCTGAAATGCAACCGGTATCTGTAAAGGACATCAGACTGACAGCAATAATAGCAAGAGTCAGTAAAGAAAGGTACAAACGCACTCTCTGGGCCAAGAGATCTGTAAATTACTGATTCCAGAGCACTGGAGGGTACACACCAGAGGAAACATCTCTTCCTGCTTATGCTCTCTTCCTGAGCATCTGTTACTGGCCAGTCTCAGACACGGGCCAGGGGGCTAGACAGACCTTTAGGCTGAGCCAAACGGTTGCCCTGAGGTTCTGCCCACCAGCAGTCATAATCCGTGCCAGAATGAGCTGCTAAGCTCTGACTCTTTTCGTCTGTATGTGCACATGGGAGCAGCTTCTGGGTAGGCTCGTGTCACAGTTGCAGCAGGGGTGTTGGTATGGCTAACTTAAAGAACATTTCCGTAATTCTTTGTATGTTGTAAATCCGCCAATCAACTGACCGCAGGAGGAATTACCTTGAAGAGGTGGAGGTTGAGGCAGCTACACACAGCTCTGACAGCCAACAGTTTCCCACTGCCACTTGGCCCTGAGAGGAGAACGCTGCTGGCCCCGCTCAGTGTACTTGCCCTGTAACACAGAGGCAGTTCTCCCGGTGACCAGGGAGCAGGGTCCCAGCTCTCCTGGGGCTTGCTAGAAGGAATTCTAACTCACCGACTGTTCAGGTGAGGCCGGAGAGCATCACAGAGCTGCTTCACGACATCAGAAAGTCCAGCAGGAGACAAACTGCTCCAGAACTCGTGGCTGTTATAGGCTGGGGCAGATGGGACAGCGCTGTTTGTTGAACCCACCTGTGAGGAAGGGAAAATAGCACTTTGTGGAACACCACATGAGAGAAGACAGGTACCAAGTGACAAAGTCTGTCCTGAAAAGCCATTTTTTATTGGCAGGAGACACAAGCCTCCACAGGCACCTTCATCATCCATAGCACAACCTCAGCCTCAGACCTCCGGTACACCCTCCCTGCTCTCCACAGATATCTTACCAGATAGAGAGAGGTGTTCTGGGTGTCCACCAGGTAACCCTCAGACTGCTCGCCTTCCACCGTGCCTAAAATCTTCCTCACTTTGAAGTAAAGCTCTGGCCACCTAAGGGAGAAAACAAGCAGTCTAAATTGTTGAGTCAAGATCTTGAAGGCAGCAACGAAACAGTTGTCAACAAGAAGGCAACTGAAAGGCACAGGTAAGAAGAGATACTCTTGCCCTCTCCCAGAACCCACATGGATCCTTTATGGACCCCGTTGTGCTGTCAGGCCAGAGAGACCAACAGGACTGTCAACAGTTACAGCTTCTGCTGGTGGCTTCAGTCCACAAGTATGGCTGTACTAACCTTATTTCATCTACCTAAGAGCTCAAGACATGCTCTCTTCTGCCATCACTTCCTTCACTACAACTCCGCAGAGATTCACGTGCAGGGTATAAAACCTTACAGCGCAGGGTCCTCTAGGCTGCAGACTAGGACTCGTCCAAATACCATGAGAGCCTTACAACCATCCTGCCCTGGACACCTCGCAGGAAAAACACTTCTTCCTACATTGATATCCCACTGGACAGATTAAGGGATCTGCAGAGGTTTCCTCCAGGATTTTCTCCACCTTCTGAATAATCGTACCACTTGCACACCAACACAGTTCCAAGCTCTTTAGATCCCATGAACTCTGCTGTCTTCTCTGGCTTGCCACAGGGCTAACACATAAGTCCACAAATGGAAGACTTGTTCCTCCTGTGGTCCTGCCTCCCTCTGAGAAACAGCCTAGAAAATACTCATCGTAGTAGTCCTATAAAACTATTAGATTTTAAAATACATAGCAGAGCTGAGCAGTGTTACAACATGTCGCTGGTACATCCTGCATGAACGATTCAAGGCAGTTCTTTGCATCGCATGCCTTGGTTACCTGTGGCAGTTCCCCCAGTGACACAGCTGAATCATTTATATTAACACCAGCCAAATCCTGCTGCAAGCACCCCTACTCTGATACAAAGGTGGCTCTCTCTCATTTAGCACTGAACTGCTTCAAAGACATATGAGCAAAACCAAGGAAGGCAGAATTGGTGGCCAAACAGAAAGGTATTCTAACATGAACTGTAAAAGCTTATATTCACACTTCGTTGTTTGTCACACGTTGACAAGCCCAACTTCCACTTTGCTTTCTTTATGTGGCGCTGGCTGTGCTCAGGCCACCCCTTCCTCCTCTTCATTCTTTTTCCCCCATCAGTTTCTCTCTCTCTTTTTTCTGTCTTCCCTCCATGACTATTTGAGTAAGCTAAGAGAGGCCTTAGCTGCTCTCTCCCTCTTAGCTGCAGCCCTCCATAATCCAACAAAAACATTTCCCTCTTCCCCCCAAAATAAGAGGCAGATAAAGTCTAAACTCCAGGGACAGATCAGAATGGAATAAACTGTCTTGTTTCAAGAGAGTCAATAGTGGAAAAGTATCTTTTCTCTTGCAGTACCATGTAATAGAGCTACAGTTTGTTGGCACCTACCTTAGGAATTTGTCTGCATTTACTTCTAAAAACTCGGCATATCCAAATGTTGGAACACACAGAATGTCTCCCTCCTGGACAAGCCTACAAAAAAAATGGGGAAATCCTTCTGGTCGTGTGTCCTCCCCGCCCCATACCACACGCGTTTTTACAGAAAAGAATGTAGCTGTTCATACCGACTCACTCCTTTCCTGTAAATAAAACTATAAATAGCCACTTAAAGATTTAGCATGCACTGGATGTGAGTAGGCTCATCCAGACTAAGGGGAACCTTCTGGGAATGGTATAGAAGATGAACACCATTAAAGAGTGTCTCATAGCCTCCTTATCCCTGGAACAGCCGAGTAGAACTCCCACAGAAAGCCTCGACAGCCAAATGAAAGAGGCTCAGGGGCAGGTGTCATAAGAGAAGATGGCAACACATCCAGTTTCCTGATGACTCAACTTCATTCAAAGCTGAAAACTAGGGTTATGAACACGCCCCAGGATGGAGGTTTGCGGGCAGCACTTGGGAGCCCTCAGCATTGGATGGTAGATCACGAGGAAGGAGACTTGAAGATGACTTCTGAAGGACAGGGCGAGAGACGTTGCGTGCAAGTGAAGCACACTCATGAGGAGAAGACAGTACAGGCGGATAGTCTAAAACTACCCAGCATCTGCATTAAGGTGTTGATTATGCACATCACGAGCGTGTATCAGATCTGGGTGCCTCAAACACAGAGCAAGGGTGCATCTCACAAATACACCCCACGAACAGAAACGCGTCCCCTCCCCGCGCAGCTCACCGGGGCGTTTCGAAGTGCTTGTAGAGGACGCGGTCGTAGCCTCCCCGGGTGCTGTAGGCCGGCGAGCAGACGATCTCTAGGTGCAGCTCCTTGGCGAAGGGGGGCACGGACAGCACGGACCGGCTGCCTTTCCCATCCGCGGCGCCGGATCCTTCGTACCTCTGCAGCGGGGAAAGGGCGCACCGTGAGACCCCGC